ATTAGCGAAAGAAATAACAACGAATATACGATTTTAAAGTAAATTTTGAAAAAGGGGTCATTTGACCTCGCTTGGTACGTTTAGTGTTGACGAAGTATTTAATTGCGTTGTTTTGATTTTTATTGATTTCTAAAATTCAGAATAGAACTTCATCCGTGACAGCGTCAATCTGATTTCCTTTAACAACAGCTTCTAAAGATTAAATTTGTTTCGATTACGTTTCGATCTCTGGCCAGATACGTATACTTCTCCCAGAAGACAGAAAGGCAAGAATGGTCGAAATATTGAAGTTGGAACAACAAAACGAACGATATTCGTCGAACTGGCGAGGATCGAAAACTCTCGCGGTGCAACGCTGGAAGTTCGTCTGGAGGAAAAAGGCGGCGGGAACTAGTTCGAAACAAAGTTACCTCGAAACGGAAGTGCACGTATAAAGAAAGAAGAGTGAGAGTTAGAAGGAAGACGAGAGGACGTTACTTTGCCGACGATAATGCATTCGAGACCGCAGAGTTCTGCATTTCGTGAGGAAACGGGAACATCGTGCATACACGACTCCCTAAACGTATACACGGGGATACCTAATATGCATATTCGCCCGAGTCGGAAGGTCGAAGGTCGGAAGGATCCGCGCTCAAAGGATCAGAGATAGACATCGAATGTGCGAGCCCGATATCTGTCTCATAATCAAGAGAAAACGTTCCTTTCGATTCGAACGATACGTGTCAAATTTATCAAATTAATCAAAATATTAATTAATTAATAATTTCTTATAGAATTAATAATTTATTAATAATTTCTTATAGAAATTTTATGGCGAACTTTTACAAAGTACTATGTAACTTTTCGTCCATAGTTCATTTTGACTTTAACTTCAATTGTTGATCAGAGTTTTATCGCGAGAAATTCATACGTGAATTCGAGCTCACTGTTTCGCTGGATCGTGCACGCGATCTTTTAAAATCACGTTTTTCTACGCGCAATTGAGTATTTACCCGGAAGCGTCTGGCAACTACAGACGGATAAGCTACGTTTCTTTACTTGAGGATCTGTCGCGTAAAGTTACACTTTCGTCGATTCAAACTAGCTACGGTCTCACATAGGAAAACGCATGTATTGTAAATTTTTATTTTCCCTCAATGACACGCGATATGATAGGTTTGTATGACTGATTGAATTACATGATGTTTTCAACATCGAAATACGCTTGAAGCAAAAAAAAAAAAAAAAGAAAAGAAAAGAAAGAGCGACAGATATTTATTTTACACTCACCATTTCTGCAGCATCCTCTCGTAGACGCTCCGAAGCGTCCTTTACGTTTCCGGCATCGTCCTGAACCGGCGTCGCTCCGTTGAGATGCAAGTTGCTGTTGCAAATTCGTAGAATAGAGCAGGAAAGTTGTTCTTGTCACGGTAAATCGTTGACAATGTCGTTTTGGAGATGAATACGTGACAATGAAACACGACGTCCCAATACTACGAACAAAACATAAAACTCGACAAGCACACGCGTAAGGCGCGAGACCAACTGACTGACTTTCTCGATTTCGGTTGTGGCTCCAGCATCAGCGCCACCTGTTTCACACGTATACACTTACGCGTGGCCAAATCACCGACTGTACAGCAGTGTTTCGCTAACTGGCCACAAATCGGGACTCTAATTGCAAGTTATCAGTGAATATATATTTTCAGAAAATTTCGACTACTTTTTTTTCATTAAACCTGTGATCTGTGACAAAGCGTACCAGTTGTTAATGGATGCATGTTCTGACGAATGAAATATCTGAAAATTGAAACACATTCACTCACAAGGATTTACATACGGGTTGCTTCCATGTATTCCGTTTGTTACATATCTATGCTACAATAGTAGTCTAATTTGCAGCTTACAATACTAATTAAATTTATTTATTTGACGTATGTAACAAACAAACCGTATCTCAGTCACTTAATATGATATTATTTACTGTATATCTTTGCAAACACTCTTCAATAACTTTTCTTATTAGTTGTCTGTTAATTTTTCTTACAGATTATATCTGAAAACGAGAATACAGTTTTGTGCATGAACTATTATATATTCATGTAAGATTTCAAAATTTCGGTAAGTGTTATTTGCCGCGTTATTTTACGAACTTGGATAAACAGTAAACACTATTCGATTTTCAAAAATTCAGAGACAAAACTTTACGGAAATGTTAAAGCTTTTTCGGATAGCAATAAATTTTGGGAGTTTACTATAGTACGAAGTAACAGTCTTATCTTTGCATTCGCTAGATATAAAAATTTAAGCGTGATGAATGAATGCGTTAGGTATCTGAAAATGATTGGTGATAATTGATAACCAATAAATAATTGAGCAGTTATAATATCAACTGCATAAATTCGTTGAAATAGATTATATCTAGCAATACGAACTTGTGTATACAAAATTCTCTCAAATTATTTTATATATAGATTACAACGTGTAATATAAATTTTAGTCGAATTTAAAAAATTTTCCTCATAAGAAGTAATTCAATGGATTTCACAAATTTTTTTAGGAAAAGGAAGTTACTTTATTTTATTACTTCTGTACAATTGTACAACGAATGAATTCATACAAGCAACATTGTTTATTTAGGCCAGTTTTATAAAATTAAAGACATCAAACATGACCTTTGATCTAATCGTTGTTCGTTTGCAACTCGCATTTTTAATTAAAGTTAAAGATCAAACACACAATTAATTCTATTGAAATTAATTATAAGAGTGACTAGCAGGACATGCATTAATATGTATATACATTCAAAGAAATACAATTAAAACTATATAATAACATTCATTAATTTTTATAATTTTATATTTGCAATATAAAATATACCTAGAGTAAAGAGTAAAGAGTAAAAAATAAACTTCATTAGTATAGAAAAAGTATTTTTAACAAATACTGTTTCATTTTCTTTAGCTTTAAAATATGTAGCATAACTTTTTTCACAAAATTGAACCGTTTTAAAATGTACAGTTTGGTATATTAATATAAATACAGGGATTGTATTATAAGCGCATTCTGGGTGTTCTTTTATTTATATCATATCAAATCTACTCTTTCATATACCTATATATACATATGAACAGAATGAATTTGATAAATAACAAAGAATATTTATCTGTGCAGTTATTGAAAAATACAAGAAACGCTTTTGACAAATGAATCATTCTGTTTTGTATTTTTTACAAATTACGATGATATGAAAATATTTAAAACAACTTTAGAGTATAATTATTTATTCAGTAACTTTTCCCTGATATTTTACTGTTTCTTTTTATACAACGAAGCATGGTCAATCACATCCATGCATAAATTATGATTAAATATGTATGGTAAATACAATCAATTTTCATAAAATATATAAGCATAATAGATTTTCAACTGCAATTTAATAAAAATTTTGAGTAAATTTGAAGTAATTATGAAATGTGAAATAAATGTTTCGAATTAATTTCTTATAATAAAAGTGACTGTACCAAGAATTATTTTACATTCAGTATTTTTAAATTAAAATTAAAAATGCAGAATAGAATTATAATGAAGAATAAAATGCAAAAAATTAAATGCCATATACATTGGCAATACTTTGGATGATTTGCAAATAAAATTTTGATATTATTCGTAAATAATTTATAAACAATAAGATTTAAGCTACATGATTAAATTTCTATATTAATTTAAAATATAATTGTATCGAAAAAATCGATAAAACATTTTTTTGAACATATGTAAAAAGTATCTCCTAATACTTTATACGTAAAAAGTATCTCTTAATCTTAATTTGCGAAATACAAAGCGTGTAAAAAAAGTCATTTATCGTTCTTCTGTCAGTCTGTCAGCTCATACGGTCATAGACTTCTTCTACATTCGTCATTCGGTTTGCAACGATACACGTGGAAAATACTACAAGAAAACCATATTCGACTTGACCAAGAATTGCGTTGTTTTCGCAACATTAAAAATGCTATAAAAAATTGAAATTTCTTTAATCACACAAATCCAGAAGATAATCATCATTATGAAAGACCGTGGTTCTCCGATTAATTAATCGAAACGTACACTGCACTAAGCGATTGATCTTTGCGTGTCATTCATATAGTTCCTTACGTAAGACATAAAATCTATCAATGCAGTAGACATTGATTTATCTACAACTTTTTGTGGAAGCCAGCCTTTTAAATTCGTATTAATAATCCATGTAAATCGACATTTACTATCGTCATTAGGTAATCGTTCTGCTGCCCAACAGCTTACATTGTTCTCAGCCCTTTAATAAAATATTACCACAAATAATTACTTTTCAATACAGCATGATCTTGAAAATTTGTTTTTAACTGTCAAACTTACCTGACGACGTTACTGCGATTTGGTAATGATGTAAAAGGCACTGACGTACCGCTATTTATATAATAGTTACCGTACTGAATACGATGCCTTAAAATAACGAAATCACGAGCGCCAATAATGCCTCCTCCTTGGGCACTTGTGGCTTGATAAACAATATCCGTATTCTCATCGATGCACTGATTAAAAAACACACCAAGAAAATTGATCAGTTTAATCAATGTATAAAATAAAAAGAAAAAAAAAGAAAGAGATACCTGTAATTTCTTCGATTCGGTAACAAGTTTATTCCATGACGGTGATAATTCAATTTCGTCGAATAATCTGTTCACAAGTATACCAGCTGGAGCTTCAATATTTCCCTTAAAAAATTACATGAAATCACGACGAAAAAATAAACAGAATAATATACGTTTAATATCTTCTTTAAACTTACTACTATTTTTAACGTCTTTCCTTCTTTAGGACGGTTTATGTAAAAGATAATATCACCATTTGACATTATATTCTGAATTTGCCAATCTTTAGATTGCAATAAATCGTGGCACGTCTGCACTAACGCATTTGCTCTTCGTTTATAGTCCTCTATCTGTAAACATTGAAGAATCGTCCATAAAGGATTAATAAACGTATCATTTTCTAAGATTCATTATACAATTCTTACTCACCATCTCTGTTGTGAGCTTTGGTAGAGACTTAGGCGGAAATATTTCGTTCGTTTTTGATAAACTCCTAGAATTACCTGGTCTTGTAAAATTTTCATCCTCGTGATCAGAATGATCTGGTGAGTCGATAGGTGTAAAAAATGTACCAGGTTCAATGCTGGTATATTGGCGTGATTCTGAGGTAACTCCTCGAAGGAGTGGTTCTCTTTCATTACTCGTGAAATCTGAAATCAATTCGAAACTTTAGCTTATGACGTTTTAATATCCAGTAACAAAATAAATTACAAATATCGTACTTCTAAACCAATTTCTAGCTTGTGTTTCCTGGGGCAATACACGAATATCAAAGAACCACGCTTCCACCCATGCCAATACAAAAGACGTAAGGATAAGAAGAACTTGAAATACTGGTTGATTGCATATTGACCACTAAAAACGAACATAGTAAAATAACAAGTCTATCATTACAAAAATCCAACGTACAACGATTGAATCCTTACATCAAAAAGAAACACCTTAGCGATTAAGAAAGCACATGTCGTGGCAGTTGTCAACTGTAACAAACCACAGAGCGTTTCTTTTATACAATATCATATATTGCTGTTTTGCAGTCAATGACGATTATAATCATTCACGAAATTCTGACACTTACAGCCACGATAATCCAATGATCCAAATGGAGCAGCGCGTAGAAGAGTAACAACACTGTAAACCTGCAAATCGCTGCCATCTGAGAAGATGAAATCCTTAAAATTTCTGTCCACGACGAGCTGAATGTCATTTCGGACATTTTTTTTTTTTTTTTTTCGTTTCTTTTCTCTCGAATATAAACGTCATGGTACTTACCACTATATCGAAAAGCGATGTCTTTATGTGATAATGGACTACTTGATTGATGAACGCGGACTGCAAACTTTCGCCGGCGATCTAAAATTTTTGGTAAGTTCAAGGTAAATTTCGTATAACTTTCAGTTAAATAATTGAGACACAGGGGAATATTGAAATTAATAAAAGACTGAATAAAAATTTCTCGTGAAGTAGATGTGGTCATTCGTGATCAAAGGGTCAAATAAACACGCATAACGTTATTAAATCCCATTTTAAACTAATTGCGCTAACATATATATTTACCATTGTACAAATAAGCCACATGAGAAAAGTAAGCAAAAGGTCGAAGGTGACGAAGAGGCAAAAAAAACGTCTGACATTGGACATTCTGCCGTTCTGCATGGCACCCGCGATAAGATCTTCGCTAAGAATGAAATCTGGGGTCCGCGTCATACTCTGCTGAGTGTACAAACTCCTCTGAGAGTTTATAGATTCATTCAGTAAACTTTCTGCGGCCGCTCTAATTTGCCTCTCGTCTTCTGCCATTCTGCTGTGTCTTAATCCAAGACAGTGACCTGAGAAATAATAAAATAATTCCAATACGGACTAGTTATTACTAAAATAAGATTAACGTTTCAAGAAATGCGGCAGATAGATGGTAGTCGTTATAAGTTTTTCAAGATTAATTCCTGGAAACTGTTGCACGTGTTGCCAACTTCTTTTAACGTGATCTCTAACGAATGAAAAACAATTATGTCAGAACAATTATATTAAAAGTATTTATTAGAACATTTGAAATATATCGCGTTTATTGTTTAATGCATCGCGCTTTTTACTGCTTGTCGATTTTAGATTTAATTCGATATGCATTATATTCCAAGAATACAGTTTGTGTAATAACGCAGTTTTCACTGTAGTATATCTTACATATTACTAAAAGCTCATATCAAATTAATATTCGTATGAAATAAAAATTGTACTAATTTATGAAGCGAAAGTTTGTCGTAGCGATTTTGACAGTTGTCGCTTTAACTTTATTTATACTTACAAGAACTTACAAACAAGTTCATAATCATGGAGCTAAAAATTATATTTGCAATCATCGATTTTTCTACAAGGACGTGATCATCGTGTATAAAGACATCATCTAGTTCGGTTATTACGAACATTATTTTTCTATTTTTATATACATGTATATATGCATATAATTTCAATATTTACTGAAGAATGAAATGTTTATTACAATTATTAATGCAAATAAATAAAAACATGTTCGCACGAACTGATATCGAGTTCTACGTATATATATTTGATTGCATACATTTTTTCGCTCATATCTCTTTTATTTCATATAAAACGAAAGTAATTTATATTTATATTTTACATACATTATATGATAATCGGAACATATCATATAGTTTAAATGAAACAGATTTAATTTTTTTTCATGAAAGTACTTGTGCAACATTCGATAATAATCTTCCAATTTCATCTACAGCAAAAATTTTTTCGATAGATAAATATGTGTTTAATCATGATTATTTTTAGATATTTATTTAAAAATAAATATGATTCATCATTTTTTCATGTTTTTCCATCGTGAAATAGTATCCATTTTTTAACAAAATAAATAAACAAATTTTGAAATATGAAAGTGTATGAAGTGCAACAGCTGATACGGTCAGTGACTCAATCTCACTCAAACAATAAGAAAACATTTTTTCAAAATATAGAAATGTATGTCTCGTACTCACGTAAATTGTATAAAATCTTCATCAAAATATTCTTATATCTATATTTGTACTGATAATTTAATATGCAGTAAAAAACATTATCAATAAAGTACTGATAACAAAAGATGTATCGCGGATACTTAACTTAATTGACATAAAAGAAACATTCTAACCTCAAACTTGATTAAGATATATTCAGTCTCGACAATTCTAAGGATGGTTAACATTTTTTCGTAGACTTTTTATTAATTGCTCGTAAGACTCTTACGAATGAAACTCAAACTTGTATACATCAATACGTAAATAACGTAAGATTATCTTAACTGAAATAAAAAAGCCATGAGTGAAAGACTTTTGTTTACCGTTCAAGTCTTGCAAGTTCTCATAAATCCAATCGCATTAGCGAAAAGTCCACTGTCAATATATCCCACTCGCGTATCATTCCGAAGGAAAGGATTTTCAATGAAATGTTTAATTTTAAAAAGCACCACTAATATTCCGACTTTCGTTGTTGTAAAAAGAATAAACACAAGCAAATGTAGCAATTTACGAGTTGCATATAAATTTTTTACATAGATGGCGGCGCCATGTGATAGAGATGAATATAGTGACATCTTTCGACATTAGCACAAATTAATTTATCATTCAATCAAGTATAAAAAATGAAAAAATTTATTTATGTATCAAATATATCTATTTGAATATTAAGATTAATATTTTTGTACTTATAATTAGTATTCACATAGATCAGGTATGAGGATATCTAAAAAACGTCTTGAAAAAATTTGACTACAGACGAGGTCACAGATGATATACTTTGTCGGTGATTTTACTGTCATTTTCAATGTTATCGATAAAATAAGATTTCACTGCTAAATGACGACAGTCTTTGTAAAAAGATCAAATTTTCATTTACAAAAAAAAATTAATTAAGATAATTTTTCTAATTCATTAATTAAAGAAAAGATAACGATAAGAAAAGATATTGAAGAAAGGATACTTGAGCTTTTCTCTTGCATTCTATTTAACCACAGATGAGGTTGTGATTTAACCTATCAAGAAAGATTTTAAATAATATAATTAACATAACATATATTTATTAATAGAAATTACAAATGTAATAAATATAGACGATGTTTTTTTTTACAAAATTTTCACAAAACATTCACAAAAATTTTTTATTTAGAGATAAAGATTGAAACGTCGATGAAACAACAAAATATTAAAATTGTGATTATCGAACATAATCGATATTTCTTGCAATAAATGTAGTAATGTAATTACATACATAACGTTATTTTTTGGTAGTTCAGCAAGAAACATCATTTAGAAATTATCAGATAAAAGTGACAATCAATAATTTCTAACCTTATATTTGCACTATTATAAATATATTTGCGATTTAGAATGGTCATTATTTATTATTTTAAAAGTTATTACATAATACGTAATTACATTTAATTTAATTATCTTATATTTAATTCCGTCTCTTGTTGGTTAACAGTAAACATAACATATATATTTCCATATACACTAATTGATGAAAGTATTTAAATATTTACTTTTAAAGTTATTGATAAAATTTCCAATTATTAATAATTTTCAATAATTTACAATTATGAATTGTTAAATTATATGTTTTTAATACGGTTGAAATATTCTTCTATAGATCAGAATATAGAATCCTATTAGTGTACGTTCGAATGCTGAAATCCCCACCCCAAATTGCGACGCGAACCTGTTGCGCGAAAGGTTAGTTTACTATTGAAAATCGAGGTGTCAAGGTGTATTTTCTCATGCGTGACATTTATTAACATGATACTTTCATCGTTCAGACCCACGTTACTGTCAACGTCATTTAATTATCGTATGTTTTAATTTAATAATTTATTGTTATAATTTACAAGTAAATTATCTTTGTTTTTATTTAACTTTGTCTCTTTGATTGTTACATTTACCGGTAATTCGTATCATGAACTTTCGAAATAATAATTGAAGTCAAAATAGCATTTGACTTCAATTATTATTTCATTATTTTCTTTCTTCTATACATTTATTTGTAGTATTTTGATGTTATTTTGTTTATATTACTAATTAATCGTAACAAAAACTTCGAAATATTGGAGGAAAGAACGGAATTCAAATGGACAGGATGCTGATTAATGATAAATCTGGTAACTTTTCAAAAAAGTATGATAACATTTAATTTATTTTAATAAAGACAGATATACTTATATGTTTTATTGGATAATAACTTTTTAAAATAAATATTATTTTCGGGAAGGTATGCTACAATTTGAACATGTTCTGCGCAGTGTGTCATTTGTGCACTGCGCAGCTTTATTTGTCTGACAATGAAAGCGCGCCATATTTGATTAATATCTAAATAAATTTAGATGTTTGAATTTTTATAATTTTCGAGAAGAAGTATTCTTACTTTTACACTTGCTGCATGATGTAAAAATAAATATCTATTTGAATGAAATAAGATTAATTGTACAATTTTTTTTTTCACGAAATTATAACAGTTTAAAATATTAATAATTTTTCATCAAGTGTGTGAATATTTTCGTTCTTTTTTAAGAATCTCATAAATTTTGTGTACATTTGATTTAGACCAGAGTTTTTTAATTTTTTATTCCAAGTTATCATTTCGTGAGAAACACGCGATTACAGCGCCACTATACGGTGAAATACGCAATACACTTCTTACGATTCTCGAACGTAATCGATATTTCTAAGGATCGATTTTTAAGCGGTAAGAATGGCGGAAAGAAGCACGCCTCATCTGTAAAGAAGAAAGTATTATCCAGAAGAATCAGCCAGAAAGAAGTATCATCCAGAAGTTCTCAGGTAAAAATTTAAATCAATAGCTATTAGATTTGCGTTTGTGTTGTGAATTTAAGATAAAACTTGCACTTTTGGCTTCAGTTCATCGAAATCTGCCAGATTACCAAAAACAGTGCATAATTTTTAGTTCCCTAAAATAAAATTGAATCAAATAATTATTATACATAATTTTCAACAACAATTAAAGAAATAATGGCATATAAAGATTTAAACAAAACACACTGTGCTAAAAGTTATTTATAATTTTATACTAAAATTTAATTTCATACACACACACACACACACACACA